GCACTCTACCACTGAGCTGTACCCATCCCCCCATGACCTCTGCCCTGATGGTCATCTTTGTGCATAAATCGTGGTTCATATTTCAGATGGCTACTTTAGGATAGATTCCTTGAAATGAAAATACTGGATCAAAACACTTCCAGGAGCATTTGAAGGTGCCCGATGCTTATTGCTAAATTGTGTTCCAATTTGCCTTCTTCTCTGATTGCCGTGGTTTAGAGCAAACAAAGCTGTGTAGTTATGACAAAAATGGGGGCAGGGGTGACCTTTCAAGTCCCATAACCAATGGGCCGAGGATGTTAAGGAAGGTGAACCTGATGAGCTCTCATGAATTTTTGCATCACAGAAGAACTGAGTGGAGCATGGGAGGAAGTTAAATCGGAGAGTGGAAGCTAACGCAGGATGTAGTTAATGTTGAAAGAATTTGACGTTCAAGGGTAGAAGTATCCACAAGTGCAAATAACACATGACTGCATGCGTGTTATTATTTCCATTTTTATAGATGAAGAAGTGGAAGAGTTTTGAGTTATTATGCCCACGGTCATGTAGTGTATTAGCGACAGACCTGGTTCTAGTCTCTGTTCTCAGTTCCTGCTCTGTATTACCCCTCAGTGTTTACAAATCTTGTTTCCACTACTTAGAGGGTTCAAGGCATCACATGTTTGCTAAGCAAGATAATTTAGGGTGGGACAGAGTCTCTCCTAACATAGTCTGCTGTGGAACAACTGGCCAAGACCAACCTTCCTCTGCTGCTGAAGGCAACTGGAAAGCTCACATAACTGTTTGATCAGCATATGGAGGCCTGTGGGGAAATCCATCACACCACCAGTCTATGTACAGCTTGTGGGCTAAGGAGAATTTTTAAATATTTTTAAATGGTTGAAAAAATTTAAAAGAAAAATACTATTTCATGACACGTGAGAAAATTATATGAAATTAAATTTTCAGTATTCATGGATAAAGTTTTATTGCAACCCAGCCACACCCATTCATTTACATCGTTGAGCAGTTACCACAGACACCTGATGGCAAGTCTAGAGTTTTTACTGCCTGGCCCTACACGCAGAAGTTTGTTGACTTCCGGTTTAGTTCATAGACATCATTACTCAATGATCCAGATTCTGCTGATGTCTGAAAGCTCCATGCGTGTGAAATGACACCAGTGACAGTCCTGTTGTCCACTTATCAGTGTGTCCATTAAACATTCTTTGATTGTGTCTGGTTATTAAAGCAAGAAAAAATGGGAGATTTTGCCACTTCATCTTCAGGGTTTGTTCTGTACCCAAGAGTCTTATTGCCATGATGGGCCATGAAAACCTTCAACCATTGGTTTTAGAACAGGTTTGGAACAGGCGTCTCACGTCACTTGAGAATCAGCTACCATTATGCATCTTTTTGGCATTCGAATGTGCTTGTCAGCTGAGGGACTGGTGGGTGGACATGAGGATCCATGATAAGTCTATGGGCAAATGGACTATGTGATTTAGGGCAGTCCACTGTGTGAAATGTATTTCTCCTCATTTATATATGATCATTGTTCTGTATTTTAATCTTTCTTTGCACGACACAACGGTTCGACATTTGTATCTATTGCTAAATCATCACCACAATAAATCTAGTTAACATCTGTCATGACACATAGTTACAGACTTTTTTCTTCCTTGTGATGAGAATTTTTAAGATTCTCTTAGCAGCCTTCAAATATGGCATTCAGTATGATTAACTGTAGTCCCCACACTGTACATCACATCCCCATGACTTATTTATTTAACAACTGGAAATGGGACCTTTTGACCATCACCCATTTCACCCACCCCTCACCCCCCATCCCCATGTCTGGCAACCTTTACTCTGTTTTCTGTGTCTATGAGCTTGGTTTTTTGTTTCGTCTTCTTTTGTTTTTTGGTCTTTAGGGTCCACATTTAAGTGAGAGTCCCTTCCTTTTTTTTTTTTTAACAGCTCAGGGCAAAGGAAAAAATATGTATGTAAAACTGAGCTAGATAAGCAAATAAATATTTTTAAAATAATAGAATAAAGGCTACAGGAGAGGTATGATGTTCTAGAACTGCCAGTATTCAAAAACAAAATGGTGCGCACTTAGGAAACCTGGTGTGCTGGCTCATAAAAATGATACTTCTGTTGAAAACAACTAAAATGCCGGGTAAAAAGAAATGTAATCTCCTTAAAAGCATCAATGAGCTGGGAAAAATTTCAACAATAAACCAGCCAGGCACTGAATGAACTGGGAAACCACAGAGAGGCAAGCAAGTGAAACAGTGGGACTGGCTTTTGCCCTGAGGGTGTATCCCAAACTGAGTAAACTTGAACTTCAGCTTTGTTGTTTTAAAGTGATGTAATAGTTCTATTTAAAACTCAAAATTGACAGTATGCTAGAAATTACATTCTTTGTAACTGTGGAACATTATAATGTAAAATTTGAACATTAACTTTAAAATGTGTAAGGGAATATGTAGTTTTTTAAGAATCCTTTTGGGGCTATGCAAATAAAAATATGAAGAATCGTGGGTAAGACAGGATTTAAAAATATATATATATATTCACAATCATGATCAGTTTCCCAACTCTCTCCTTAATCACAGAGTGGAGTCAAGTTTACAGTTTTTGGCTACTGAATGCATCAAATCTGTAATTGTGACCCCAGGAGCACTATTTCCTGTTACTGATTTAAATTTTATCTGCAAGACCAGGTACAACTAAGCTCAAAGAGATAGCGTGTTATTTAAGACAACCAACATTTCATAAAGAAATACTCATGTATAAAAATGTCATCAAGAGCATCCATTTGGTTTAGAGAGCAATTGTTACCTTAGCACCTACTAGGAAACCAAACAATGGAATGTAGTCTCTGATATATTTATTACAACTGTACCTTGATGCACTAATATAATTGAAGGTGATAAATACAGTAGAAAAAATTAATATATTGGTGTTGGGGGCAAGGTGACACTGTGAACTGGATGTCACTCAGCGACATACTGTTAGTCATTGTACTCACGAACATGATTTGATTTGTAGTAACTACATCTGAGACCACCATTAGGGCTCTTGATAACAGGAGTAAACACAGGGACCGCTTTTTAGTGCTGTGAACCTCTAACTGGTGACATCGCACCCTGCCTCCTCTGGAAAGCTAGTAGTTCCCACCAGAGGGTCATGGCTACAGGAGCCAGCCTTCACAATGACCCCCGATGGTCCCTGGCTTGGGACAGTCACGCACTTGCAGAATCCCCCCTCGCCCACCTTGTCTCAAGGTTGGTTGGTGTGACCATCAGTGTTTGGCAGAAGTCGTATGTCATAGTTTACTTCTTCATTAATCAAGTTATACAGAGGCTAAGGAGAGCTGAGAACAAGGCCATGTGTAGTAGAGAATGGGGTTTGGTATGATTTACTTGGCTTTTGGATGAAATTCAATCCAATAATAACACCGATACGAAGAAAAGACAGAATCCGAGGCCTGGAGAGACCAAGAATCCATAAATTGAAGTCTCCTTGAGTCATTTACATTAAACGTACACGTGGATCACAGAAAGCTTGCCTAAAACTGGCAATCACTCCACATTAATGTGAATCTGGAGAGCAGACTCTCTCATAAGGTCTCCCCCTGCGTGCTGGCTCGTCTCTGTTGAAGTCACATGGCAAGTCATTCTCGTTGAACAAAAGGACGTCCCTCTCATCTGTAAGTGACCAGTCATAAAAGTGAATGTGAATAGACCTCATGCACGGGTTGAAGACCACCAGTTAATTTGAGATTGACTGAAGGATCCACCCCTTTCGGCTGACAGAGGGCAAAAGGGAACTTTCCACTAAGTGAGTGTGTCTGTTTCTTTGCTTCTCTCTCGCTTTCTATAATATTTAAGTAGTTATCCAGTGTAGACGGAAGAAACCGAGGCGTCTCCATGTGACTGTAGCTCACTGGGGCAAAGCGTGCGTTCTACCTGAATAAAAATAGGAGCAAAACACAGAATATACTGACACCTGATGACGCTCTGTAAATTAACCTGTCAAACTTTACAGTTCTTTCTGCTTGAACACGTCCTTTCTCCCACTGACCAGAATGTTTGGGGACCATCTGGAATTATTAACTAAAAAGAACAGCTCCCTCCCCAATCGCTGTAGCTTAAGTTAGTCCTTTGTGGGTCACTGAGGTTTACGCTGCTTCCTGGAGTGGTCCTTAGGTTGCCTCTGTTCTGTGGGGAACGTGGTTGTCCCACTTTCAGGTAGTAAGTGGCAGCTGGTAGGTACCTTGCTGACACATGATGGTCTCTGAATGTGACAGAGAGTCCTAGCGTCGACCTAATGGAACATTCTCGTTTGCAGATATGGAGACAGACGCTGTGCGGTCAGCTGTTCAGTGCCCCACAACCCACTGGCGGCGAAGTCACGCTTAGAATCGGGGTCTTGGTGTGCTGGCTGCGCTGTATGTCTGCTGTCACGATGGTGACTGCAGAGCAAAACCTGCTTGTGACTTGGGTCTTGCTTTCTGTCGCTGAATATCCTGATGTTGGTGTAATTATTAAGGCAGTTAAAATCTCAGGCATATTGTGGCTCATAAAAATAAGCATCTTCTCTGAAAAAGAAGGTCATTCTGTAATCAGAACAAGGCGGGGGCTAAGTCCTTCAACAAGTTTCTCCCACAGACTTTCCAGAGGGTTAAATGACACTTTCCCCATCTCACTGGCTTTAAACTGTTGAGCTAAGATCTTGACCCGTGAACATATTGTATATCAAGTGGCTCGAAACACAGCAGGGGGGAAAATCAGCCTTACTGCATTTTCTGGTAGGAGAACATCCTTAAATTATATCGAACTCTTGCCTTATAAAACAGCACATGGCTCTCCGGCTTCAGTGGCCGCTGCCTCACCGCGCAGGCTACTTGGAAAGTAATTAAATTGAACAGACAGTGGCCTTGATTTAAAGTCAGAGGGGGAAGCAGTTAATTGAATAGAAATGACAGTCCTTCTTTTTTCTTTTTTTCCAAGGCTAGGCCAAGCTGAGAGACAATGTAAATATTAAAAGGGAAACAGCCCTAAACCATCAAGATGAATCACTTGCTTGGTGAGTACAATTTATTTTATTTCACTTGATAAGCCAAGGAAACATTTGAGTCCTTTGTCATTCTCAGGGCTCCTTTCTCTCCAAATAGCAGTTGGACTTGGTGATTCTTTGTCACCTTGGTGTCCAGGCTTTCAAACCTTCTCTCGCTGGAGTTTTCTGGTCTGTTTTCAGGTTAAAGGGGCGTGTGTGACAGAAGCTGGGAAATAAAAGATGGAATTGTTTTCTTGTCATCCTGTCCCCTTGCCACCTGGCGACCGCGATTCTGTTGAGTGGAGCTAGATAATCGTCATCTCAATGCAACGTGCTCCTTTATTTCCTGGGGGTCAGGCACCAGGAGGACCAGGAGGGCATAAGATCTGTTGAAACGTGACCCTCTTTGGAGCAGAGTCGTTCCACAAGTAGAGGATTGAAGGAAATGACTTCAAGGGGAAAGATCCTGGAGTTCTGAAATCAATAGCTCACAGTCAAAATGCTCATTTTCAAGAACAAAGTATAATTAAAATGTGCCCAGAGGTGAAGGAAGAGAAGGAACTTCCTTATCAAGTGATAGATATAAAATAAAAATTCAAAGTGGAAAAAAAAAACCCTCAAGTTGCAACTCTGAGTTTTGCTGTCAAAGAACAGATTGGAGCTCTAAGGACATTTACATTGCAAGTCTTTCTAGCTTGCCCTACTCAGTTTTATTTCCCTTTTCATGATTTCCTTTCCCTCTCCAGCCAAATTCTTAACCTTGTGCACCTCCTGGGAGAGATGGCCAGGAGGCTGTTGGATCCGTGCAGAAGAGAAGACGGGGGCGGGAGAGTCGTTCCCAGCGATTCCTCCGGAGCTGTTCGGAGTGGAAATCTTTTCACCTTTGCACTTAGAATAAAGCAGCCCAGCATTCACAATTAGTTGGCTTTTGCATACTCTTTGGCAAGCAAGGGCTTCTGCCACAAAGCCCAGTTTTCTAGTCTGAAGGTCAGGAAGAAGGCCTGCACAACTCCAGGCGAGGTGCGTGTAGGCATGGAGGAATGACAGGTGACCAGCAGAGACTCTGGTGAACTTCTGGCTTTGCTGCTGTTTAAGTGTCCCTTAGGGATGATGCCAACTTCCTTCTTTAGACCACAGTGTCCTTATGGCTGCAGAATGAAGAGACCAAGTGAGGTGATCTCTAAACTTCTTTTAGCTTTGACTCTATGCCAACTCCTCCCCCTCCTCCCCAGGGCATTTAAGTGGTGGAATCACACATCAGTTCCAACCACCAGGCACCGCAGGATCGAAGGGCATGAGCTGAGAAGAGACTGAACGTAGTCCGGAAATGGGTGCCTCCAATGCATGCGAGCTATCTTTAAGCAGCACCTGTATTTCAAGAATGGGTCCGTGGAGTGAGGTGGTTCTTCTCTGCAAAAGGGAACTGATCTGCAATTTACAAAGAACAAGAAAATGCTGAGCTTTTTGCTTGGGGAAGGGTTTGCAATGTTCTCATTTTAAACTGCTTTTCTTCCAGCTTTATTGAGATCTAGTTGACACGCAGCACTCTGTGAAATTAAGGGCTACAGCATAATGATCTGATTTACAGACACTGTGAAATGATTATCACAATATGTTTAATAAATACCCATCATCTCATAGAGATACAGAATTAAGTAAAAAGGAAAAACACTTTTTCGTGATGAGAACTCTCAGGGTTTAATCTCTTAACAACTTTCATATAAAACATACAGCGGTGTTAATTATATCCATCATGTTGTACATTACATTCCTGGAACTTATTTATCTTATAACTGGAAGTTTGTATCTTTTGACTGCCTTTATCCAATTCCCCCTCCCTCCACTCGGTCAAAATGTTGGCAAGTTTCTGTCTTTCCAGATTCTTCAAGTATAAAGTAAAGAGACTGGAGTGGTGATCTCAAGAAGAACCTCCCATTGTGTCTTTCCCAGAAAAATTTCAAGAACTAATAACAAATGTTTGGGTGGAAAGGACTCTGCCCAAAAGCTAGATTCAGCAAGCATCATTACTACTGGACTTCTCAAATCTTCTAATATACCACTAGAACATTTTGAGCTTTTAAGGTGGAGATATAGAAGATCGTATTTACTTAACTTGTTTAGTTACAGAATTCATCTCTCCCCTGCAAAGTCATTATTATTATCATAATAATTTTTTGTTATTTTTATTATCTTAAGCAACTAGTGTTTGAAGAGGATGCTTTGGGGGAACATACCTATAAGCAGTAAATGCTTTCAATGTCCACTTACTCTCCAGAAGAGATGTGCCATTTATTCTTAATTTTCTTAAAAAAAATTTTTTTTTTTATTGAAGTATAGTTGATATGAGGCTGGAAGCCCCATAAAAAGACCAGCAGGACCCCAGGCAGGGCCACTACTCTCCTGCTGGCACCATCCGGTTCCCTGGCACAGAGGCTCTATCTCACTTTTTGCCTCTGAAATGGCTTACTTACCCCTAAAATTCTATTGGTTTGCTGAACTCACTCCTGATTGGTTATTTCTCTCTCTTCTGATTATTTCTCTCCCTCCTGATTGGTCCATTTCTACAAATCTTGTTCCTAATTAGTCAACTTTCGTTATACCTCATTTGCATATGATATTGCAAAGTGTAAACTGGCAGCCTATAAAGGCCTGTGTAAACCTACAGCCGGGATCCAGAGCTTGGAGTGTTAACTCCTCTGGGCCCACTGGCGTAATAAACCTGAGGTCTCCACCCCTCTGAGTGCTGCTTGGTGTCTCGCCCGGATCCAGGTTGCTGTCACACCTGAGCTGTAACACATTTTTTCTGCAACAGATATACAATGTTGTGTTAGTTTCAGGTGCACAGCAATGTGACTCAGTTACACACATCCATGTACATATTCTTTTTCATAGTCTTTTCCACTGTGGTTTATTACAGGATATTGACTGCAGTTCCCTGTGCTCTGCAGTAGGACCCTGCTGTTTATCTGTTTTAGATACAGTAGGTTGTATCTGCTGATCCCAAACTCCTCATGTATCCCTCCCCCACCCCCTTCCCCTTTGTGTCTGTGAGTCTGTTTCTGTTCTGTAAATAAGTTCACCTGTGTCATATTTTAGATTCGCATGTAAGCGACATCATGTGGGATTTGTCTTTCTCTCTCTGACTTGCTTCATTTAGTATGATAGAGACGTCCATTTAATATGGGAGCCAAGGGGCTTTCAACGTGGAGGTTTTGAAGAACTTTCCAGATGAAACCACACAGTAGGTACTGAGGATTATAGGATTTCCCCATCCAGACTTTGCTCCAGCAGTTCACAGACCATTGCTCGTGTCCCCATTCAATCAGGGCTTTCTTAAGGATTCTCCTAAAGCACTCTGCCTTGTGAATGGAAAACAAACAAGAAAAATTGGTCTTCACAACAAAGAGCCAACAATGAGAAGAAACGGAATAAACACTCGTAAGACCCACCGCGATTTCGTGTAACAGTTGACGGTAGTATTTTGAAGCTCAGTTATTTCGCATCGCGGCCAAGACCTCGATACGAGCATTTACATGAAATCTGTGGGTGCTGTTGACTGTCTCGACTGTTCTATAATCTTCATTACTCACTAGGATGTGGTGTTCTTGCCGTGTAGCCTCTGCCATTTCTCAGGCAGCTTAACTGTACACAAGACTGAGGGGGCTAGCGTTCAGACTTCATAAAGTTTCACATTCGCACATTTAAAGAATAAAGTGTATGCTGCTTTAAGTGAATCGTGTTAGTTTTTTTTTCTGTTCTTGCAGGTTTCAGTTTGAAAAAAACCCGAATTGTTTGAGAAATGTAGGTGACATGTCACCTAGGAAAGTCCCTCTCTGAAGCACGGTAGACGGCAGAGCAGGAAGTCAAAGGTGGCCAGCTGAGATTGCTGCTCCCCTCCTCTCATCCGCAGCCCGGCACCTGCATCTCTTCTGATCGGCGTGAAAAACCAAGTGAACGATCAGTGAAGACAGGGGGTCCTGCCCATGTTCTCCTTGGGTTTCTAGATCAGGACGGTTTTTACTAAGACCGTCGTTTGCCTTTGACCATTTCTTTTCTTCTCAATTCCTTCCTTCCCTTCCCTTCCCTTCTCTTCTCTTTTCTTTGCCATTACGTTTTCTAATAAGCACAGTTTTGCATTACCCCCAGGGTCATAACTCAAATCACAAAGATGGCGTCCAAAACGGATTTTTCAATGAATGAATGAATTATATACGAAGTGAAAAAATAGGCGTGCAAATTCTGACTCCATCAACATCTGGCTCCCTGACCCAGAGAGCACAGCTTTTCTTGGCTGCATCCCTGCCCCCCCCCCGACTTATATTAGGGCTCCTCACCTTGTAGAGTCGACCCTATTTCTAGTAGAACACAGTCTTCCAGGAGAGTTATGAGCCAGTTTTATTCCATTTCTTGTCCTTTCCTTTCTCTGGATGTGTCAGAATTTCCAGCAGAAAGGAGGGGGGAAGTGGAACGTTAAGTTGGCATCTTCTTTCTATTCCAAATGGAGTCTTTAATCCTAACTCCAACCCTTCTTTTGTTGGCTACCATGGACCTCCCTCCAGCCATGAAAAGATCTCAGCTTCCAGTTATAAGATAAATAAATCCTGGCCATGTCACATACAACGTGGTGACCATGGCATTTGGTGGGGGTGATGAATCTTGGAAACATTAAAGCTGAGGGGTGTAATAAGCAGCTAGATGTATGGGTCCAGAACTTAGAGAGAAGGGGTCTGGGCTGGGGATGTGATTTTGGGAGTCACCGATGGATTGATAAGTTAGCTGGCAAAGAGCCCACTGGCTTAGGGAAAGAGCTGAGGGTGAGAAGAGAAAAGGGCCTTAACCAAACCTTCCAGAATCTCAACCATTTAATCGTTAGAGTGGGATAAGCTAGCCAGGGACAGTGATGAGATGCCAGCAGAGAAAAGAGAAAGCTGGAGAGGGTGGAGTCGCCGAGAGACAAGATGAGAAGTAAACCACATCCAAGGGATTTGCACCATGGAATTCACATTGGTTACTTCACTGGGAGACATTTAGGGGGAGGAACACAGAT